GCTGGATAGCAGCAAGTTCAACTACTGGCTACCTGTCAGCAGTCAGGATCAGTTCTGTGTAGCCCAGATCTGTTCCAGAGTAGCCACAGTAGATGTCTGGCACCTTTTGTCCAGATATTGGCTCTAAATAAAATGGGTTTGAAAAAGAGAGACTTGGAGGTGAGCGTGTGGAATCACATCTGGAACTGAGGTTGGACTGACAAGCCTCTTGCCCTTTTTCAGAACAGGCAATATCCTTCTTGGGAAATGTTTGGAAACCAGGAATGCTGCTGAGGATGGCAAGAGATGTTCATCAGTAAGGCTTTAATACTCTGTCCCCTCGTGGTGCAGTAGCAGCACGGTGCCAGCATAAACAGGCATTTCCTTTCTCTCCCCAGCCTTCTCAGCTGTGTCAGTCTGCAAGACAATGCAGCTAACAAGATTACAGAACTGATCTGGATTTAAAACAACAGCAAAACAATCATTCATTTTAACTTGGATTGAGTTTGCCAAAACAGTCACACCACCTGTGCCAGCACAGCTACGGTGGCAGCATGAGAAAACAAACAGCAAGAAGGAAGCTGGCACAGCTGCCAGCTGAAACACGTGTCTGAACCAGGATAGCATTTGAATTGCAGACCTTTGCACTACAGGATCCTTCCATTCCTCCACCACAAACGGGATCTCCAATCAAATATTCTGCTCTCTTGCGCCAATAGGTGAAAGTACAGCATGGACTGAATGGGAGAGGCAAACAGGAAAGAAGATGCAACACATAGGAACACAGTAACACAGCACAATTAACTGCTTTAGTGAAGACCCAGCTGAATGTGCTTCAGCCCTTCCTCTAAAGCACTCAGTTTAGGGAACAGACCAGAATAACAACCTTCCAAACTGCACACATGCCTTCTGCCTGCGAGGAGTAAGGTTTTGCAGGTGGGCAGGGAAGCTGATGAATTTGCTCTGGTCTTTTTGAATATGCGATGGGATGTGGCCAATGCTCCTTGCATTTAGGGTTTTTTAAAGTTAGATAATATTCTTCCCCTTAGCTAAGGATGTACTTTTTAAATTCAGCTTTTTGAGCTCTTATTCTGTGAACCTTAAGGAAGCTGACATTTCAAGGTGGTACTGCATAGAAAAGGAAGAAAAGGACATTTGAATTGTGAACAGGTTAAGAGAACCCCAAACACTACCTTTATTTGTTCAAGAGCTCTAACCATGCTTCTCTCCAACTACAAAAACAGGGACTAATCTGACAGGTTAAAAGTTTTAAGGCTATCTCTATCCAGCTTAGGTTTTAGACAGTATAACAAAACTGGATGGAAAAAAAAACCCCTTTCTGATAATCAAGGTACAACACATGTCTGGCAACAACATGTTTTGTTGTCTCAAACATGGTTTGAGATTTGTGGTCGTTATTTCCACATAAATAATGTCTTTACTTCTCACAACTACTAGTTAAGTATCAAGGACAAGCTTTAAAGGCTAGAAGTTTTAAAAAAGGTGTAATTGATGCAAGCTGGACACCTCTGGGGTGGAAAAGGAGACTGCACAGAAGAGCTGCACTTCATCAAGTCACCTGTAAGGACTCACACAAGGTTTCCCAATGCCCATTTTCTAAAAATCCCAGATCTTCTCTACCCATTCAATCTGCTACATGCATTGCAGTCTTTTTTTTTTCTTAATTATGGTTACAATTCTGCTTCAACCACATCTGAAAACAGAGGTGATTTTCTCTTAAGTGCTGATCAAGACTCAGTGGCAGTGTTTACTTTCAGGGTGCACTTGAGACCAAGAAATTCCATCTCAGCAACACCCACCTCCTCACATGCCACACCTGAGGCTGTGAGCAGGGCAGAGAATGCCCTGCATTCTCCCCAAGCCTGAAGCCTGGAAATCCCTTCGTGCACAAGCACCTAGACACCACATCCAAACAAGCCATACCAAGATAAACAAGGAAGATAAACAACTTTTCTTCCCCTGGCAAATGTTTGGCTGTGTCTACATACACATTCACAGGAGGAGACCACTGTTTGCACATTCATAAAAGCCTTTTCTTTCTTTTGGAAATGAAGCATGTCTTTAGTATAACACCAAAGAAAAAGAGGGTAATGAGTGCATGCCAGTTCTTTGAAATCCAAGAAAGCACTTCCCAGAATTGAGACGCTGCTCTTGCATCCACTGCAGAGCACAGCCTTCATCCCTCTGAGGAAACAGCGGTCTTTGAGGGACTAAATCTATCCAGAATAAGCAGAGGTCCACAGCCCAAAGTTCTCCTCAAAGCAAAGCCTATGGGCAGCCACACTGCTGTCTTGGTGAAAGGTATTTTAAGACAAACAGCAAGGAAATCACAGTCCAGCCTTTTAAGGGACTCTGATAGAAAGCTGAGTGCTGTTCATATGAGCTTAACCACCTGATTTTTAATGAAAAGTGTTACCCTCCATGACCAGTGAATTTTGTAGAAGGTATACAGCTAAATCATTGTTTCTACTCTATGCTCTAGGATATCTTCTTTTTTTCTTTTTTTTTCTTTTTTCTTTTTCTTTTTTTTTTTTTTTTTTAAGAGGAAAAGGCCTTTTCATCACTGCTGTGACTGTCAAACACATCCTTCATTCACAAAGGCAAACTGCATTTTGTTAGAAACAGAAGATGTTAGGCACCACAGATCAGGAAAGAAAATTCCAACTTTACTTTCCATGGATACATTCCATGAAGCCCTCTGGCTTTAGCAGCAGAAACATCTTTAATTGGCTCATCTGGAGATTTCAGACCAAGTCTGACTTCTAACACTGGGAATGTACCCCAAATACTGGAAATGTTCCCCGGCTGTCACCCCAAGTAGTCTTGGAAGACTTTATTTCTTTTCCTTTTAATTGCAGAGTTGTCTCAAAGACATTCACCTTTGAATATTCCTTCAGAGCTCCTTGGAAACAAACCCAGTTGCAGTCTCCTCCCTCAGGCTGTAATTCAGAAGAAATGGCAGATGTCTCCTCCACAAAAGGAGGCATAAAAATCTTACAGGCTATTTTAATCTTAAATTATTCAGCTTGGTCGAACAGCAGTCATTCCAATGGAATGTAGGCTTGTACTCCAACAAGGGTTTACTGTTTCTAAAATAAATGTCATGGTAATACATCAGTGCTAGACCTTTACTACCTGCACATTCACATTCAACAGTCACTGTCCCAGTTGAACAAAATAACAAAAGAAGGACATTTGCTAAAAGAAGGAAATTTAACAGCTACCCATCAGAACAATATAAAAATCCCATTATTTTGGAAACATCCATCCAATTAAAAGTACATGTAAAAATTAAAAATTAAGGCAAGCCTCAAGTAACTGCTACATGCCTGTTCTTTTGATCCTGCTTTTATAAAAAAAATGGCATATTCTTGCTTTAAAAAAATGATACATAACTGCCAACTGAACTCAGCACTAAATTTCTTAGCAATTCCAGGTTTTGTATCCTTAAAGCCCATAACCACAGGTATTCCTGAGCTGGAAAAAAAACAGACTTAATCTCTGCTTTTGTTTTCCAGGATTTTACATACTTCTCTGGAAAGACAGCCTCCATTTCAAGTACCACATTAAGAGCCCTGGACATTTACCCACAGGAGAGATTTGCAAAGTTAAAAACGTACTGAAACATAGTTTTCCTCCTCTTGTACCAAGTAATGCACTTTATGAAACAAATCAATCAGATTAGAGATAGCAAACCATTAATACTTAAGTTAGGGAGCAAAAACATTTCAAGTGGCACCCAGAAAAACTTTATTCCATGTAAAATAATATATGCAATTGATGATAATGATTCCTGTTGTTGAACCTCTGATCTGTCCACTCACCACATTATCCCCAAACACAGATAGGAGCTTACTGAATTGACAAGAGACAGATTTTCTGATCATCACCAAGGAAAATCCCTGGACTTCACAGGTCTGTGTTCAAGATCACAAGACCTCCTCCACTGAGGAATGCTCTTGGGCCTTTGCACATGCAGCCATGCTAGGAAATAAACACTGGGAAAGGGAGATAAGCATTCAAAATTCTTCATGTTTTTTTATTAATTTCATTTTCTCTTGCACAAAGGAAACTTAATAGAGGACAGAAGGAGAAAACAAGTCTCCTTCACTCTGTGACAGCTCTCTCCCTCCAGCAGAATCACATCTTCGCAGTGGAATTTGAAGAACTGTTGGAAGGAAGGAGCAGATGGGGACCTGCTTCCACAGCAAGTACCTCACAGCAGAAAACAACCCCACACACCACCCACCACCCTGCAAGATTCTGCTCTTGGAGGATAATTAAAAAACAAGCAAACCACAAAAGCATTTGACATGTTAAAATAGGCTTAGTTACAGTTTAGATACCACAACACCGCAACAATTTAAAAGATAAATACAGAAAAGGTAAGATTTCAGCATTAGAGAGGATGTAAGTTCACAATAAAAAAAGGGTTCTCATGCATATATAACATTTCCACAGAACTCTAAGAATACTGATATTTATTCTTTAAAAATTCACAAGCTTTGGGATTTTTCTATAGATGAACTGAAGGACAATATTGTAAAAATGCAAGCAGCAGGTGACTAGCAGGGGGAGAGGATGGCCAAACAGACTGTCTGGGGGGAAAAAGGGGACTCTTCAGAGCTCCATATTCCCACACTATAGGGGAATAAGTTTCCAAACAGTATTTCTTTCCCTAAGTGATGAACACATTATATTTAAACATTTTAAGCACATAAATATACACATCTTACAATTAAACACATTCATTTCTTATTATTTCTTTAAAACATGCAAAATGTCATTTAATGTCACTTTCACCCCTGCTCTCATTCCTGCCTCAGGGTGCCACACAGGTTGGTACCACTTCAAGTTCCTGAATTTACTCAAAATATACAAGATTCTTTTAAAATAAACAATGAAACTTTTGTGTTTATTTGCTTCCAGATTTTTACCTCCCATTTTTTAAGATAACACTTCACCTAAAGATGCCGTAAAAATGCTGAAAAGGGTCTTACTCGGACATCAGTAGCGTCTCCGTGCCGGATAATGCTGGCCCACGTGGTCGGCTCGCTGCTGTTTTCAAAGTAGTGGAAAACCTTCAGGACGCGTTCCATGGCCCCTGGGGAACGTTCCATCCCAGTACTGAGGTGAGTCTTTGCACCTGAACTTGGGGTGTGATTCAAGTTTGGGTCAAGGTAAGCTGCTGCCATGGTTTTGCTAGATGCTAGGTATCGGTCATATTCTAGGGAAAGGGAAACAAAAAAGAAATTCATTTTAGTTATGCATGAATCTTATACTTCTTCATACAAGGCATTTACCAGAAAACCATGAAGATTCACTTCCTTTTTGGAAAGCAACTAAAATATTTATGTATCTACAAACATAAAAACCTACCACAGAAACTGAAAGCCCCTTGGAGCAAGTGATCTGAACTTGAACACCACAATTATTTACAAAAGTGGTATCTTTAGCAAAACCTCTTCCATTTGTTTCTCAGAGACTGAGAACCCAGGTCCCTGACAAAGCCTTCAACACCAAATACCAGCTTTCAGTTCAAACAGTTTTCATCCCTAGAATCCTCCAAGTCTGGTCCTACAAAAAGCCTCTGAAGAGGCATAAGGAAACCCCAGCACTGAACTGGAGGCTCTTCACTAAGAAGCCACACACCAACACCAGGCTCTCCTGTTTCAAGGCTAAAACAATGAAATCTTCACTCCTTTTGTGCTAGTTTGGGAACCAGTGGGACACAAACCCATCCAGATCTAAGTTCATTATTCAGTGAGGAATCATTTACATCACACCTACCCTCCTGTCACCAATTCCTGAACAAGGGGCTAAATTTTATCTTCCACTAGCCTGATTTCAAAGTCTGACGGCAAAAGGCACAGACCTTGGTATGAGTCTGCATGTCAAAGGAGAAAGAAGAAAATTGCCTCTTGGCTATTGCTACCTAATTAGTCAGCCACAAGCAGATGGTGTCTGAGAAATCAATGCAGTCCAAGAGAAAAAGAGCAAAGAGTACCTCCTCCCTGCCTGCCAGGCTGGAGCATCATTCCAGTCTGCTGGCTGCAGAGTGCAAAGACTGCAGGGCTCTGCTCCAGGCCTTGGACAAGTGCACAGAGCTTTCCCTACCTCCTCTCAGTGAGCAGCCAGTAGGGAGGCAGTTTTGAAAATGTGAAGTTAAAAATAAACTAAACTTGATCTTTTTGGCAAAGTGCTCTGAATGCCTTCCTGGTAGTAAACTGAATGTCTGAACCCTCGTTTACCTCACTGAGAGGCACAAGAGAGACCCTTCCAGCTGAGCTCCTGTAATGCCTGGCTGCCCCTCAGAGCTTCAGCCCTGCCACCTGCCACGGTGCTCTGCTGACCTCCCCAAAAACTGGCTCAGAAAACTATTGGGGGGGAAAACATCAAAACAAAAACCCAGGTGACTTGGTTTTCAGGACTGGCTTAGTTCCATACCTCAGGAAAGGGAAGAGAAGCAGAAGCAGCCACCATCAGGGTGAGGAAGCGCATCTCCCCTCCAGCAGCAGCTGTGATAACACCAATGAGCTCAGCTAACAGGAATTAACACCAGCAATATCAAGGCTTGAGATCTTCAGATTGTAGGCAACATTTGGAGGCTAAAAGGACTGGAAGTCTTAAGCATCTATCTAATTCAGACCCACCAGACAAAGAAGAAACAATAGCCCAACTGGGCAGGACGTCTTTACCTCCTGAATAAATGGTTGAATTGCATTCATCCAAGGGAAAGGTAGGAACTCCGCACTGGACAGACAAAAGGCCTCTAATGTCCTGCCCTCAAGGGAAGATGGTAAGAGAAGCCAAGGAGAAGATTCTCCCAACACTCCTCCAGTGTCTCACCAGTGAGGGACTTCCCCCACCTGCCAGTTTCCTATCTCTGTGAAAACTCAAGAAACCACTACAGCTTCACTGTTCCTCTTTTCTGGCCATCAATACAAATGAATTAAGCTAACCTTAGACCCACATTAAAGCCTCTCCTACTCTTCACCTCTCATGAACAGACACAGATCTGAAAACTCTGCAACCCCTCAGCAACTCTTCAACTTCTCCTCACCAAAGGAGCCCGTGAGCTGTTTTCACACAAACACTGACTTTAAAGCTGAAACAGGCACCAAAATCTTCCCTCTGGCAACTAACACCAAGACAACAAGACTGTACAAGCTCCAAACTGCAGGACTCCTTTCCTGTAAGGTTAAAATAGCCATTGCTAAACCCCAAAGGTCCGGAGGGTAGGGAGTTTCACCAGGACAAATTCAGGCAGATGAATCCCAACTTCCAACTGTTTGGAATGAAGTTGTCCAACTCTTTGGAATGAAACTGCAGTTTGCAGGCTCAGACAAGGCTGCTGCCCTTGTGCAGGATGCTCTGCATCCTTCTTTAGAACAACCCACCCTACCTCAAGGTCACTGGTGAAACTGCTGAGCTTTATTTAAAGTTTACATAAGCAGACAGCAGGGAGAATTGTTACAACACAAAGCAAAAATGAGTCATTTCTTCACAGAGAACCAAAAGAATGCCTGCTTTAGTATTAATTCACTACACTGCATCCACTTAATACACACATTCATCAGGTTTTATGTGGCTGAAGAATGGCTGTCCAGGGAGAAAAGCTATTGGGAAAACACCAAACCAGGCATTCAGATGTCTAGCCATAGGTTTAAATATGGACAATCTCCACCCCTTGGGAGCAGCAAACAGGAAAGCAATGCAAGACTCCAGTACCTACACACTGAAGTGCTCTTACAAGGTGTCATTTCAATGGACAGGCAAAACACTATTACAATGTTTCCATATTCAAGAAAATGTGGAATTAGACATCAGACTGACAGTACTGGGTACGGGGTCAGTTTTCACAAGGTTATATTTTACAGAGGTTTTTCAAAGTAAAACAACCGCCTTCACAAAACTAGAATAGCACTTTTCCTTCAGAATTTGATCATCACTGGTTCCTTACAACTTCTTTTAAAAAGCCCAATGCTTACTTTATGAAGCACCAAAGCAGCAATAAATCTGATAGCTCCAGGTATAGAAACACATGCCATATCTCTGGTTATGGACCTATTAACATTCCCATTAAAACCAGCCTCTGGGTTTGAGCTTGTAATGTGACTGTAAAACTCTGCCCCAGGCCAAAACTTTGTAAAACACAGCTGCTGTTAAACAACTATTTTACAAGAGCGGGTTGTTTTACGACACAAAGAAAGCTCAGATAACAACACCACGATGCTTATTTGGGCTGTTCTAAATTCAAACCAGACTGGTGTGTAATGCTGCAATTACACATCTCAGTTTAAATGAGCAGCTTTAATCCTCTTGGTATTAACTAGACAGGTAGTGTGTGCTACCATGGGCCAGAAACAAGCTAGAGTCAACCAAAAGAAGGCAGATTTAGATTATATATATATCAGAAATTTTGGACAGAGCAACCTGGTCTAGTGAAAGGAGCTCTTGCTCATGGCAGGGAAGTTGAAACTAGATGATCTTCAAGGTTTCTCCCAACCAAAACCATTCCACGATTCTATGACTTAATTCTACTGTATTTCATTGGATCTTGTGGTGTAAAAAGCTAATGGTCTAAAGTGAAGCACGGTCACATTTCTTTGTATGCAAGGCTCTGTGCCAGCATCCCTTAGAGCTTCCAAGAGGAAAGACTATTGTTCTCCCAGTGCTTGCACTTCAGAGAAATTCCTGTGATTTCTCAGTAATGTCAAGGACTATTCCAGGATTGAGGGAGGAGCAAAGCAAACCAGCCCTGGCCTTGGTGATACAGGAGTGGGTCTGCTGAGATGCTGCAGTTGTTACCAGACTACAACACAAGATGTATTCTTGCTTAGATGGTTTTCTTTACTGTGGTGGGAGCACCTGAGATTTAGGCAAGTTGAATCCGTCTAGAAGTAATTTCCTCTCAATGTGACTCTTACTGACACATTCCCACATTTGCTGACTATATCAGAAACAAAGTCAGTGTTATGACTTCCAGTAGCACAATCAAAGTTCTAAGTCACGTTTCACTTTGAGCTTCGAGTACTCAGAAATTAAATCATTTTCATTAACGAGACAGTCAAAAGTCATTAAAAAATATTTAAATCAATTAACTGCAAATTGGTTAATAAAGTGATAGAGTCATCTTATAAGGAAAATGGTTTCAATGCAAATAATGTCTTCAACATCAGCAGTTTGATAATAAAAAAATGATTAAAAAAATAAACAACACTTTCTCTTATTAGTGTTGGCTGATGGCCAACAATGCAGTGCTAACAAGTTCATGTTACAAGGAACCAAGCTGTAATTATTCACATTATTCTCACTGTGACTCCACGTTGTCCTTTGTAGATACCATGAAATCTTATTATTCTTTAACCTCCACATCCTGATCCCCATCTTAGGCCTGAAGGCATCGACATCTATGAGCTAAAGCCCCTTCCAGGTGGCATTTCTGCAAAATAACCTGGCCCATCTAAATTCAAACCTATACAAATCTGAAAGAATCTATAAAATCTATTAGAAAAGTTACGAATCTATGAAAATACAGTAAGAATTCAGAGTTTGTTTCATTCTCTGGTCCTGGTGTAATAATCCTTCCACGAGACTTAAAATACTTTCAAATATTACTTAATTATTAAAGTAAATGAAAGATTAGATTTAGATTGCTTGCACCTTTGACAAACAACGCTGCTTTACTGGACAGACTGACTGGAAAGCGGCTTTCCAGAGGACCTGGATGTCTTGGCGGACAACAAGCCAACCATGAGCCAGCAAAGCATCCTCGCAACCACCAGGCTCCTGGGCTTTGTTACCATCCTGACAAGAGAGACATGGACATTATGGAGACAGTCCAATGAAGGAGCACAAAAACAGTTCAGGAATTTGAGTGTCTGTCATACAAGGAAGGGCTCAGAGAAATAGGATGGTTTGGCCTGGGGGAAAAAAGCTCAGAGGGATCTTCCAAAAGTGTATGAACACCAGTAAAGATGGGGCCAGACTGCTCCCAATGGTGCCCAGTGAAGACAGGAAGGGCATGGAGGGACAGAACAGGAAATCCCATTTTAAGTATTAGGAGAAAGTTTCTGCACTACACAGGTGGCTGAACGCTGCAACAGGTTGCCCAGAGGTTGTGGAATCTCCATCTGTGGATATTCAAATCACAGCTGAACAACCTGCTGTAGGCTGACCCTACTCAGAGCAGAGGCAGAGGAGGAGAAATCTCCACAGGTGCCTTGCAACATCTGAAATTTTGTTATTTGGCAATAAAAACTAAATTAAGGATTTATTTCACACTCTAAAATCATAAATTATCCAGAATACATCTCACATCAGAGAGTAAACATCTCGTGCATTTCAAGCTCAATCCATTTTCACAGCTTGTATTAAATCCTGCTGTAACTCACCTTGCAAATATTAACTTGACTATCTCAACCTCACAGACAGGAAAGGTGTTAAATACAATTTTAACAATGATCCCCATGACAAAGCCTGTATTTTTGGGGCTTCTGTTTAGAGTCAGCACATTGCTGACTTTTGGTACTCCATCACCTGATACAAACATATCCACATCCCAGCAGAGAAGCAGCAAACGTGCCAGGTGTGTGACAAGTCTTTTTTGCATTTCCTTGATGTCAACATCTTCTTACACATTTAAGGACTAAACCTGGAGAAAACCATTAGGTTTGTGATTTCAAATATGGGACAGATGCAGAAAGAAAGGAGAAGGGCTATTTTTTCCTTTTATCATCACTTTAGCCTTCAAAGACATTCAGTAATTATAGCTATTTTGCATAAGTCACGTTGGAATGTCCCTATTTGTTCCCTGCTGAGTTTATTTTTCTTGTACTTCTTTCAGCAATGCTGATGTTCAAAAGCAAAAGAAAAAAGGAACAATCCTTTGTTCTACTTTACCTTGCCTTCCAGCTATGTTCACTGTTTTTGGTAATATTTGCTATGACTACATCCAATACACATCTATTTATTTATTTCTCTTGCTGTCTCTTTTTCATTTCTTCCTGGTCACTGCTTTCTACCTACTCCTCCAAATATATGCACTTTTAAGTGTAGTATTTGCAGCCAAAAGCATTTATTAAGGCTCTCAGGTCAAAGTATAAAGCCAGACACATTAAAACAATTTTAAAATCAAGTTCCTGGTACCTACTTTGGCCTAAATCATCTTACCAAGTACTTCACTGTATAAGTATGAAATGGAAAAACAGTACTGGCAATTCCATTTTTTCCCTCTCAGGGAATATTGCCTGAACAGTTACTAAATCTATGTCTCAATACAGTTCAAAGATAATACAGACCAAAGTCAAAACAAGTTTAGCAATACAAATTGCCAATATGGGAACATTTATTTCAATTATAACAATGTTTTAGGAGATTAAATGTTCAAGGGAGCATGAAGGAGGAATTCAGACACAGCCTGAACTGCAAGACCCACATGAAGCAAAGCAGTATGACAGTCCTGGGCCTGTAAATGTAAAACAAGTATAACTCACTAAAATCAATAATAAATAAAAATATAAATAAATAAATGTATCACCTAAATTAAATTAATCAATGGCATATTCCCTGTACAGCTGTCACGGACAAAGGCTGCTGAAGAACTCAAGAGTGGATTTTGCTGAGTGCCAAAGAATTTTGAACTCTAAATGGATTTTGCTGAGTGCTGTTACTGGTGTAGCTGCACCCTGGGATGAAGGGACTGAGAAAGTTTCAGGGGACTGATCAATGGTTAAATGTTTGTCCTGTCAAGCAGCAATTTTCCAAATGTCCCAAGATATCTTGTACTCATCCACCCTGCATTCAAAACTCCACCCATCCTTCTCACTAAAAATCCCACAGGATGAAGCCCTAATGTACCTTTAAATACTCAGTTTAACCCAATTTTATTGAAACATTACATAATCTGTGCTATCAGCAATTCCCTTTGGAGTTAGCACCGTTTTCTATTTTTAATATTAAAAAATTAAATAGCGAGGAAACATCAGTTGTGTTGGGAATACAAGAAAATCAATGTCTGTACAAGCTTTAATTAGAACACAGTATCCAGTTAGATACTTGCCTAATTTCTCAACAGCACTCTGAACTTTCACTGTGGTCCCTTGGCACCACTGAAATTCAAATAAACACTAATCTCCCCTTGCATTTTCTGTTGCTTGCTTCTAGCAAGCTCTAGAGAATTAGAGGGGTGCAGTTTTATTTCAAAAGGCACCAGAGAAATGAGCAAGTAACAACTGTGCCATTTCAAAATAAAGATTTAAATTAATTTCTATGTATTTTGAAGCTGCACTACTTGTTGGCAGCAGCTCTTCCTACGAATATTGAAATAAGAGACTGAAGGAAGCTGTGTGAATTCAAATAATCTTTTCTAACACTCCTGTCTCAAATACTGCTCCAAGAAGGACCCACATAGCCCAGCTCTTCTTCCAAACAGCTTTAGAAGCAAATACAAGCTGGAGAGTTTATTGTCCTTCTAGAATAGTAAAAACTAATGAGAATTGGTGATGATGCAAGCGTACTTCTCTGAAATTAAAAACAAGAAGTGCCTGAAACCAGAGGCAGCAGAGGAGAGCGCTGAGGTATCCAGCTATGCACTATCAAGGCTCAAAACATTTGGCTTTGGCCAAATTTTACCTGGGATTTCCTGGTTTTATATTACTGAATGACACCATCCCAATTTATAATTCAAAATGTTCCAGCTATCTTTTAATGTTTAACTCCCTTTAATAATTTTAACCGTCAGATAAAAGGCACTTAAGTGCTCAGGAGGAACAGCATGACTACAGCCTCGCTGTTGCTGGCAGGGCAATGGCCTATTAGAAAATTCAATGACCTGAAAAAAGTTTTCCTTAGGCCTATTCTGGCTCAGGTAACAATAGTCTCTGGTATATATGTAGAAATGAAGAAAAACATGATTCTTTACTCTTACTCTGGCTAAGTCAAGCTAGAAGCAGATAAACATACACTGTATTTCAAGATTTTTATTAAAAATAAAACAAAACCCAGCAAAACATAATAAAGCCTTAAAAAGGCAATTTAAAAAGCAATTTAAAACACCTCATCCACTCCAAAGAGATCATCAGGGCCCTAGCCAGACTTCTGGAGTCAGCACCAATAATTCCATACTGCTTTGTATCAGAACACAATTTATGGATTCCCTATCAATGCTTTCATCCCAGGTGGATGCTCCTGACATGCTGTGTAGGGCTGAATCCAAACCAAGGACTCACCATCTCACTGCAGCTGGAATCCTCCCTTGGACATGGTCCCTTGTTCCCACACTCTCTCCAGAAAAATAGGGACTTCAGTACTGTGCACTGCATAGCTAAGGGAAGGGCTTTCAATGCTTTTGCTCTTTTTAATCCCTATGAAGCTCTGAGGTTTCTTGTGGGGTTTTCCAGTGAATGTGTCATTAAATCTCTGAATAGAACCATCAGCACTGAAAAGCTCTGAAAATTTGCATTATCCAAGAAAATACCCTTGGTGTCCACCCAAAGCACTTTTCATCTTTTACTTTCAATCTACTAACACTGGGCTACTGAACCCTTCTTGAGTTTAGATTAATTCAAGCATGTCTAATATTCTACAGGTCCTGAAGTTCGACATTTATGCTGTACTGAAAAATAAGGAATTCACAATTTTAAGGGAAAGCTCTCAAATAACTCAATTACAATATAAAGCGGCTTCAGAATGTGAATTTTGGAAGTTTCCTCAACATAAACAGAGAGGAGTCAGACAACAGCTTACCAAAGAACTGATGTTAGAAAAACTAATTCATTTTTCCTAGAACCATCTGCAATATGTATGTAAAAATTTGGCTTCGCATGAGACACAAATGACAAGAAGGGTTAAAACTTCTAGAAGAGACGAAGAAGGTAACAGCTGCAATTAGACCACTCTACTTGCAACTGAGTCACTACTTGCTGCAAGTTTGCAAGCTAGGGGAAGAAAGCCATTCCAACCGGTATTAACCAGTCAAAATATATTTAATTTAGGACTTCCTTCAAGTGAGTTCTCTGAAAGTGGAATTTAGTACTTAAAAGGATAAAATATTGGGTCTCTGGTAGAAAAATTAATTACAACCTGGAAGAGGTGGGTTCAATCCCCTGAAGCAAGACAAGCTTCAGTACAATTAAGCTACATCAGTTTTGTCATTTCCAATTGTAGAAGGGATCATGCAGGAACACCACAAGAATAATCAACCACAGTACATGTGCTACTATTTTCATCTCCTCTCCAACCTCCCTGGGTCAAAACCTCATCATGCTTTGCAACACACAAGCCATAAACACATCTGCCAAAATCCATATCAGCCCCTTCCACTAAAGCAACTGTTTGAGTTGCTCCATCTAGTTCATCACATCCCACCTGAAAAAATCCAGGTATTTATTTGTTACTGGCAGTTATCTAAATTCAAACAACAGGGAGTGGGATCAGAAATATCAGAAATATCTAATTCAAGTGCTACACATTTCAAAACCAGAATTAAAATCAAGTCTTTGCAGGTTCTGTGACAGCCCGTCCGTGGTGAATTAGCACAGACCCAGCAGCACTGAGGTCCCAACCCACCAGAGTGAGCACATCCTCTTCATGGCAGGGGAGGCAAAGGAGACAGGGGATGACTGGTTTGACATCTTCATGGTGGAGAAAATCAGGCACACCTGAAAGCATCAAGTCAGCAGGTTTCACTAGCCTCATAAGAATTTACTGCACCTTTTTAGAATATGTTTGATAATGGACAGGTATTCAGTAAGAAGCTCATAAAGATGCAACTTACTTTACAGTGCATTTTTCTTCTATGCAATTATTTCCCTGGAAACAATAAATCAATTCCCACCACCACAGTGATGAAATATGCAATTTGTGTGTGACAATCTCACCATTTGCAGAAACAGCAGGTGGTAATAAATTAAGTTGGTGTTACACAAACAAGACACCTCCATAAGCTAACACCACACACACAGAGGTATCAATTCATCCCCCTTCAAGTCTCTGATAGAACATACAGGAATATTAATTGGAGAGGGGGGATGCACTAAAACACGTGCAGTTTTTAAATGCTGAATTGACTTGGCCTGAGAAAACAATCCAAAAGGATCTGACAATTAAAACACCTTTGCACATGAGCTTCGGGAGTTCTTACATATTTGCAATCTGTGCTCTTAATATGCTTGAATTTATTTTAAAATAAATACTTCATAGTAGCTAGAGAGAAAATAGAAGAACAATCTCCTTCAGCAAGGAGTGTGTGTGCTTTAATATGTATGAAAATATTTCTGCACAAAACCTGAATTTTGTTGTGACAATACACCTTCCACACCACAAACATGCAGCAAGTCAGAGGAACCTAGGTCAGAAGTACCTGGAAACATTTAAATCACATTTAAACACAAACTGAACAGGAGCTAGTATTAGGAAAAACTGCACAAATTGGTAAAATTATGAAAGATTCTAAATAAAGACTACAGTATTTCATCAGATTACCATTTTCACCCTGAAATTGGTTCTTTGGGATTTCTGTGACTTAGAAGAAGTTCTGTCAATGCTTACTAAAGGCAAGGGGTGGGTGTCTTCAGCATCACACAACCCCTTGCCAGCAGAGAATTATAGATTAAGTTTCTAATTCAGCCCCAAGGTTCAACAGAAAAGTCAATGGAATTTCCAGAACATCTTCTGCACTGTCCAAAAGTCCAGAGAAGCACAACTAAAATAATGAAGAGGCAGAGCAGGAGCCTTGTGAAGGGAACCTAAAAAAGGCAGGACGCCAAGATGGGAACTTGATCAATATTTACAAGAGCCATCAGGATGGATAAACTGGTATTAAAAGATTCTCTGAAAGTCTCTAATACAGTGGATACTGAAGAAATATAAGGACAGTTGTTGTAGACAACAGTCATGCTCACACAGTCTCCTGAGAGAGTCACAGGTAGGAGATGCTGTCCAAAGAGACTGAATCACTGATAGGTTAAATTATTTTTACATTAAGAACATCCATAAAAGCTTCACTTTTTGCCTCTGTTATTGAAGTTGAAATAGGGAATTATAGAATGGTTTGGGGTTGGAAGAGACCTTCAAGTTCATCTCATTTCAACCCCTGCCATGGGCAGGGACACCTTCCACTATCCCAGGGTGCTCCAAGCCCCATCCAACCTGGCCTTGGACACTTCCAGGGATGGGACATCCACAACTTCTCTGGGCAACCTGTGCCAGGGCCTCACCAGCCTCACAGGGAAGAATTTCTTCCTAGTATCTAACCTAAACCTCCTGTTCTTCATCTTAAGGTGGCACCCCCTCATCCTGTCACTCCAGGCCCTCGTCCCAAACCCCTCTCCAACTCTTCAGGCACTGGAAGGGGCTCCAAGGTCTCCCTGGAGCCTTTTCTTCTCCAGGCTGAACCAGCCCCAACTCTCCTGGTCCGTCTCTACAGCCATGGTGCTCCAGCCCCGTGATCAACTTAGTGGCTTCCACTGGACTTGTTCCAAAGGTCAAATGTAACCCTTGGGGCTTCCAAAAAGTTCAGATGAAAATACAGATACACAGTTTTGGCAGCTTTCTTATAGACTATATTTATCAAGTCAATAGATGCCAGTGTAAGACAATGATGTCCATGCTTAGAAAAGCCTGAAATCAAGTCAGAAATCTAACAGAAGTCATATAACATTTTTATTACAGAACAAATCAGAAAAATAAACAACCCTATGAAAAAAGCCCATGTATGAACACATCCAAAAAAGTCTACACTTTACATATTCTGTTCCTTTGAAGGGTTCATATAAGTATGTTTATAAAAAAAACAAAAAACAAAAAAAAACAAGGAAAATTAAAGATGTCTCATCACTCAGGTCTTATTTTTCAAGTTTTTTTAAAAATATTTTCTTGCACACAGTTTAGGTTCTCATGTATAGTTTAACATCCAAATAGCATTAAAGGAATTCGTCTGGTTCTATTCAATAACATTTACTGATTTTCAATACCTGGTCAAGAGAGAGGTGAAGAGGAAAAACAAAGAGGGGGCAGAGAACAGGTAGGAGATGAAGAAATGAGAAGAAAAACTATTCCATTACAATGGTTAAAGAAGGCAAAAATTGGTGAAAATGCCAGTATTACAAATTCAAGTGTAATTTCCAACTTCAACCTTCTTTTTGCCTTTTTCTTTGAAGCCATTTGTCAACTCTTAGCTGGTACCCTGACAAGTCTGACCAACTAAATGGACAGATGTGACTAAAAAGACCAAGAATCGTTAACAGGGGCAGAAGTTGATGGAATTCTCCGGGAACAGGATAGACAAGTAAGGCTTGTTTGCATGTGATACAAGGAAGCAGATGAGCCCCCTGTAATTTGCACCAAAATCAACAAAAGAGCTGATCATTGACTATCATGGCACCATCCACAGGTCTCCAGCCAGACACTGGAATTTTAAAGAGGTGATAGGAACTTTTAACAGGTAATGAGGTGCTTCTTTTCCACCAGAGACCGATTGAACATGGTGAAAGAACAAGTAGCGACAATGAAATGCAAAGGAAAAGGTTAATTTGAGATACGCCTGGGGAAGTCAACAGCAGCATAAGCACAACTAACCTCTAATTATTTCCCATTATTTTGTAAATGTCAAAGTATGGTCTTTAAAGATGCTCAGCTTTGTCAGAAACATGATTTCATTACATTTTAATCAGCTGCAGAATATTTCACTTAGCAAGTGAGTTTCATGGCTGACAGGAATTCGACAAGAAAAACTCACTTAAAACGCAGTTTTGTTCTTCTGTCAAAGACAACACCACACAGAGGAAAATCTGAGACATCAAGAGTTAATACGATTTGCTCTGAAGAAATGAGCTGCAAATGATTTTCACACTCCAGAAGGAAATTAGTTTTCCCACTTTAAGAGGTGAACAGAAGAATACTTTGGTAATACAAAGAAGAGTACAGAGCAGCATACTTGATAAGACTTCATGGTTTACTCTACCCCTTTAGGCAAAATAAATACATTTAAAAAAATAAATAAATAAAGATAAAGCCCCTAAACAAACAGCCCCAAGCCACTATCTTCCACTTACTGCAATGCTACACATTTTAAAAGTTTCAAGAAAGAGCAAATTCTGATTCATTAATGGGCAATACTAATTCCTCATTTAAGATGCCACTTAACAGCGACTGAAAACATCCCTGTTCCACCCTTCTTCGCGGAAAATGCATTTTTCACAGCAAGAACCTGAGCTGCACAGACTGTGACACAGAGCAGAAGTGAGATAGGCTCAGAAAGGTTGAAGCTGTAAGAAAAATCCCTCCAGGAACAGATCCCGGCGGGTTCTCCGGTGCAGAAGAGGCAGCACAGCCCAGCCCCATTTCCCCACTCGTTGTAAGGATCCCCTACCACGCTCAAGGTCAGAAAGCTCCATTTCTTTCAGGACTTCATCAGACTCGAGGTTTCTGGGGCCAACTCGAACTGTGGAAGACTTTTCTCAACACCAATGCATGAGCTTTTTTTTTTTTTTTTTTTTTTTTTTAAACTAGACAACTCAAAGACTCTTCATTGTTATAATTAATCAAAAGAAACTCACAGCATATTTTGGAGATGTAGACAACTAATACCAAAACTAAACACAACGTTGGTTCAGCTTCTATTTGCTTCAGTTTTATGATATACAAGGTAATTTATTAAAAACATCTCTTATCCATCTTCCCTTGGTTATCACAATTCAGTCATAGCATTTAAAAGGACAGGACTTGAAAAAAGTTAGATTATTTCCCTGCTATGTCTGCCTTCAGTGTTGAGTTCTGCCACCTGCAATATCTGATATTTAAAAAAAACAAAAAACAACTTAAAATCAGAGTTGTTGCTTTCAGAAACTGGACAAATGTCCAGAAAAAAAAAAAGAAAGATAAATACTTTTTTCCTCATTTTTCAGATGTAAGACATAAATTTAAAACTCAATTTGATCTTTCAGAATCTAATTTTAAAAAGACAATATATTGCTGTACAGCATATATTAAACATACAGATTGATCTCGATGTTTTAAAAGGCACTTAGCAAAGATGTATACCAATATAAGTTATTTACAAATAATTTATTTTGGACAGAATTTGTCAATTCTTACAGGACATCTTACAGGAAAGCCTTAAATTCCATGTTTGTTTCAATGCAACAAAATTAAGTTTAAAGGGAGATTAATTAGGCTGAGAGTATAACTATAAACATGTTGTTTTGACAGAAAGCTCTGAACTTATAAATCAAGTTATTATAACATTTATATAATCTTCTCTTACATGCTAAACAAAACAGTTCACAATGATAAAACAAATAGCACCTCTGTGGTGTGAAATAAAAGAGAAAAAAGAAAAAACCACAAAGTAATAATTAAAGCAGAAAATAATAGTCTATTTAAAAATTTAGTGCCAAATTACACTGTACCACCAATATCAAAGAAAATACGGGCCAGAATCAACAAATCCAGAACCTAAAGTGTTCCAGATCCACTCTTCTTCTTCAGTAGGGCCTTAATTCTGCAAAGCAACACCCACCCCTATGGATTTCCAGCAGTTTGGAACATACCAATGTGCTGGTGGTGGTGAGTGCTGGAATAGCTGAGTGCATGAGGATGAGGAAGGAGGAAGCATTCAGCACCTGAAAGGAGCCAGCTCTATAAAATCTGCTCAGTCACA